ACAAAATTAAATACTCATCAAAATTCTTTTGTTTCTCCCTTTTGGTAGAAGTTTGGTAATGATTGATTTAGGGAATTTTAACTGAAGAGTTGCAATCTGAATTGTAATTTTAAAGTAAGTTGAAGTAAAAGTGTTTAATAGTGTTTTAATAGGCGGGCATTAATTGCGCCTACTGACCTGAGTCAGGTTGTCAGGTATTCCTGAATTACGCCAACTACTCCACCCAATACATTCATTAACTGAGCCAAGTGGCGGCCCTCTTTCACTGTTTTATTGAGTAGGTTAGGTTATGTTAGGTTAGGTTAGGTTAGGATGGCACGTAAACAAAGAGATTCCTTCCACCGGCAACTCACTCCTACCTAGCTTGGGCTTGGCGCAACTAAGGAACATTTTTTGGAACCCTATGAGGGCTTGGTGCAATTAAGAAACTCTTTGGTGCAATTAATGCACAACAGTTTTAAGCGTTTGATTAATACATTTTACGGAGATGTTCTTCGAATACTTATAATCGCATTTTTTGCTTATTTAATTGAAAAATTGTCAGTATAAGCTAAACTGTTTAAACAACCTATATTTTGTTGCCTTTAAGAAATAGTATATTTCACTACTAGCCACAAAATGCAACAAGCTGAGTAATAAAACCTGCTGCCAGAATCTGCGAAGCTGCGACCAGTGTTAACATATTGTCTGCCTGCTTATAGAAACGGCATCTCTGAAAAAAACATGCACCAAATTCAAAAACTGCAAAATTCTGCTATTAGTTTAATTTTTGGGCTCAAAAGATTTGAACATGTCTCTCCCTTCAGATCTGTAGCGGGGATGTCAACAGTAGACACTGTTTGCAGATCATGACGTGCTGCATGGTGCACAAGGCTTTGTACAGAAGCAACAGTAACTTCTTGAGAGGCTCTCTTTCCGGGAGGAGGTCTCTCAGCGCAGTACCCGCCATGGAAGTCTCCAGCTTCACTTCCCAAGAGTGAGGCTTGAGTTTGGAAGGAGAAGCTTCTCGTACTTCGGCCCAAAGCTGTACAACGACCTCCCCTCTGGCCTAAACAAATATGTCTGGTCATCCTTTAGAGTTAAGATAAAAGAATTAAGGTAAATTAAGAAAAATCATTTTTTTCTCTACAAAATTCTTTGGAAAAAAACTGCCAAATTTTATATTTTTGAGGTAAAAAATAGGGAAAACCAATGTTTACCTCATCAATTCTCTTAAAACCTAGTTGCCGTGGTTAGATTAGGAAGTCGTTCAAATAAACGTACGCTTAAACTTTTGTGCGGAATTTCATCAAAATCGGATGGCTCTTACTCGAGTTCATTTGCTAACGACTAGTATTTTTTAGTATTTGGTACAATATAAATTAGGTACTAAATTGGTACTAAATAAAAGCAATCATTCACCATTTTAATTACAAATTGTGTTTTTGGACAAAGAACTCATACGTATTGTATACTTTTCAATGTATTTTCCCATAATCATTAGTAAAAACAAACTAAACACTACCCAAAAACTTTACCGTTAGATTTGAGATATTCAATTAGAGGGTGTAGAATGTGTATTGGAGAGGGTTGTACAATTCCAGTGCATCAGTAGCAGCTATCAAGTGTCAAGTGGTGTAATGTACAAGCAGCCTAATTCCTGAGTTGCATGACTATTCAGTTCTGTGGTTAATCACATCAACATTACTGGTCCATTACAAACAGGTTGGCTTGTAGCTCGAGGTGATCACCGTTCCCCAATCGCCGTTCACCATTCACCGTTCATTGTTCACCATTCACAGTTCATTGTTCACTATTCACCGTTAATCGTTCACCATTCACCGTTCATTGTTTACTATTCAATGTTAATCGTTCACCCTTCACCGATCACCGGTAATCAATCATCTTTACCTATTCTCCGTTCATTGTTCACTATTCACCGTTAATCGTTCACCATTCATCGTTCATTGTTCACCATTCACCGTTCATTGTTTACCATTCACCGTTAATCGTTCACCGTTCACCGTTCATCGTTCACCATTCACCATTCATCGTTCACCATTCACCGTTCATTGTTCACCATTCACCGTTCATCGTTCACCATTCACCATTCATCGTTCACCATTCACCGTTCATTGTTCACCGTTCATTGTTCACCGTTCATTGTTCACCGTTCATTGTTCACCATTCACCGTTCATCAATCACCATTCACCGTTCATTGTTCACCATTCACCATTCATTGTTTACCATCCACCGTTCATCGTTCACCATTCACCGTTCATCGTTCACCATTCACCGTTCATCATTCACCGTTCATTGTTTACTATTCAATGTTAATCGTTCACCCTTCACCGATCACCGGTAATCAATCATCTTTACCTATTCACCGTTCATTGTTCACTATTCACCGTTAATCGTTCACCATTCATCGTTCATTGTTCACCATTCACCGTTCATTGTTTACCATTCAGCGTTAATCGTTCACCGTTCACTGTTAATTGGTCACCATTCATTGTTTACCATCCACCGTTCATCGTTCACCATTCACCGTTCATCGTTCACCATTCACCATTCATCGTTCACCATTCACCGTTCATTGTTCACCATTCACCGTTCATCGTTCACCATTCACCGTTCATTGTTTACCATTCAGCATTCATCGTTCATCATTCACCGTTCATCGTTCACCGTTCATTGTTTACCATTCAGCATTCATCGTTCATCATTCACCGTTCATTGTTTACCATTCAGCATTCATCGTTCATCATTCACCGTTCATCATTCACCGTTCATTGTATACCATTTAGCATTCATCGTTCATCATTCACCGTTCATCGGTCACCGTTCATTGTTCACCATTCAACGTAGTAATCATAGCCTGTTCACACAATAGGTGGTTTGAGGCTAAGTTTTCCCACCACTTTTTCGCTCAATGTATGCTTCAGTTTGTTTGTATTCACTCTCTTGTTCCATTTTTGCTTTACTTTATCAGAAATTATTGAGTAAGTTCCAAATCCCAACAAGTATATATAGTGTATAGAAGATATATCGTAAGGCCCAGGCGCTAGAGCGTAAACGTTTTTAAACACCCGAAACGCCACATCATAGCGTTCAAACTCCCCGTGTGAAAGGTGCCAGTGAGGAAAATCATAAGCACTTTGAAAATAAAGAAATCTGGGAATAATTCCCGACAACAAAGAAAAATGGCAAAGGAATGAAAAAGGGATCACAGATTACTAGAAGTAGCTTTGAACACATCACAAAAAATGATTAGGTTTGAGTGAACTGTGACAACATCCAGTGCGTGATGATTAAGATTAAAATAGATTTATAGGTACTTGAAAATAACTATGTATATTAAATATTCTACGTAAGGTAATCATGTATAATATGTATTCTATTACACATTCTCATAACCAACCTGCAAGCCGATAGTTCTGATAGTAACCGCATTACATCTGATAGACTGGGACGGTGGCGTCGTCCAGTAATCCAGCTACTAGGAGGTCACGAATTGTGGATATTTATAGAGATGCACTGTGGATGCGATACTCCCTGGTGTGGATTAACGTCCGCACTAGTGTGTACTACGGCAAATAAACGGTATCAGCATTCTGACACATACTTTCTCCCATAAGTTTGTCAACAACCTTTATCATGTGTAAGCGGTGAGAGTAAATATACGGAAATGGGATTTGTACAATTTTGTTCAGAATTTAAAGGACGATAAACATGCTAAATTTTTATCAATATCGTTCGGGCCATTTTTGGGGAAATCCTTTTTTCCGCTATTTTATCGGGTTTTATGGAAAAATCCCCATTAAAAAAATGTCTAAAAAATTAAAAAAAAAAACTATCAAAACTGTAAGGACTATAACATACTATGTTAAATCAAAACCGGTTTTTTTCTAAAATCCAATTTTCCTTTTTTTTATGGGGATTTTTTATAGGGAAATAACATAATTTACAATAACTATTGAACCGTAATTTTTACAGAAATGGGATTTTTACCATTTTGTTCAGAATTTAAAGGGCTACAATATAGAAAATGTTTATCAAAATCGTTCAGGCCATTTTTGAGAAAATCTGATTTTTCCGGATTTTATGGGTTTTTATGGGAAAATCCCCATTAAAAATCGAAATTTCAAAAAAATGAAAAAAAGCCCTTGAGATACCATGGATTAGAACCTTGGCCTACATACCAAATTTAATCGAAATCGGACCACAGGTGTAGTCCCTAGCTCTGTACACATCCAGACACACAGACACACACGCACACAGACACACAGACATCACTTCGAAAACCACTTTTTTCGAAAAACCACCTAATCTTATTAGTATTTTATTAGGTTTTTGGGTCCAGGGGGACCCAAAACGAATATATCCATTCAAAACTCAAACTCGAAAATTTTGACGAAAACAATACTTTCTCCATATACTATGGTATAGGGGGAGAAAGTAAAAAGTGGTTCGATTTCCACTATAAACTGTAGGTCCCTTAGTTGCCATTAGCTGTATGGGCTATTAATTTACATCTGTGTCTAATGAATGTCGGCCTTAGTCACTAACAAGACTAAAAGATCGTGCCACTCATCCTATTCATCTCCATTCATACTTGGCTTAAAATACCTACTTTGTATGGTCGCCATTTCAATGAAAAGTATAAAGTATTTATGAAACTGTAGATGTCGTTTAAGCCACAAAATGTCATTGTAAATGTGTAAATAATTACAATACCAACACTGAAAATGATCTAGTTTTTTGCCCGATTTATTATGTACATACATATCAGTAAGTAGTGCTATTTAATATTAGTACTATAGTTTTATTTTACGGCACTGTTTCGCTGAGAGTTTATGATATATCGGCTGTAATTTTCATTCGAGATCAAACTCGACGAATTATTTTATTCCATAGAATTATCGAATGTAAAATTTTGTGGATGGTTTGTGACTTTAAACCACGCAAGTTGTTAGATAGGTATGCAACTGACGTGCAATTAACGGCAATTTATCACTGACTTTTGACAGGAAAACTACGTACATCCAGAGACAACTGCCTGGCTGCGAATGGTTCAATCCATCTGTGCCATGGAAGTAACACTGTGGTTTCTCGTGGTTTTCGGGTCATCTCTGGTAAGTCTTTTCTAAACATACTTTTATTTATTAATTGCCATCCTATTAACTTTTGACGATAGGTTTGTAGTTAAAAAAGTGTATTATGTGTTCTTATTGTTTATACAGGGTGTACCGTGAGTAAAATCGTTTGATAGTGAATTAAAAATGCTAAATAAAAGTGTTCATAAAACATTCATAAAACCAGCAGTTTTTGTGTTTTATAAGTAAAAAAAAAATTAAAATGATCGTCATTTTGACATTTTTAATTGAATCAAGATGAATTTATTTTTTAAAGATCTTTTTTACCTTAATTACAATACCAAGTTTTATAAAAATCAGTTGAAAAAAGTCAAAAATAAAAATGTTTATGTAAAAAATACAAAATGGCCGTTATCTGGTTAACGAAGCGATTTTGAAAAAATGTTATTTTTGATTTTATTTTTATTTTGCCCCATGGAACTATTTCCCGGAGTTTGGCCGTTTACTTATGGGACACCCTGTATAACAGCAGAAACTCATTTTCGCAAGATAACTCTTATTTCAATTTTACTAATAAAGGAGATACATGTTTGTATGTAGTTATTTAAAATTTTTGTAACGATCTAAATTAATTATGCATTAAATTCTGTGAAATAATTTGGGATCATTCTTTGAACTTTGACATATTAAAATATCATAATAAACTTTGCTTATTTCAGATCAACAATTAAATTATCTAAATTATCCGTATTTTTAAGTTAAAGCCTAATATACCATCGGATGTTTAACAAATGATCCTATATTTTTGCAGATTCTCCAGAGCTCAGCTTTTGGAAAACGTTCCGGATCGAGTGTCAAGGGCCACGGTAAAACCAACTATACATTAATCAATATCTTTTATTTAGCTAGTTATTTCAAGCTTTGATAACAACCTGTAGTATACCATGTGTGTGTGCAGAAGATTGTGTGTGTGTTAAAACTTGATACAACAACAAACAACTTTCGGGTCTGGGTGGTGTTCCTAATAACGATTTTTAAATACCCAGACCCGTTTGTCCAATATAGAAACTCGGTCGCGTGTGTCGCTTTTGTTCTGCGGAAAAAGGCTAATTTCTTGACATCACTTTTGTTCCGGGGGTCAGCAGGGGGCCGGTCAAAACATCACTTTTGTTCCGCGGACATCTCTCCTGTTCCTCGAAAGAGGGGCTGCACTCTCCCTCCCTTAAATCCTCTCTTTCGCTCTTCTCCTAATTATTTCTTACAAAGGTTAGGTTAGGTAAGGTTGGGTTAGGTTGGGTTAGGTCAGGTTGAAAATATTTTAATTATTGAAATATTTGTAAAGGAGAAAATTACAATTTAACGAGTTTTAAGGCCCACATAAAAGAAAGAATTAGTAGGAGAGCGAAAGAGTGGATTAGGGGAGGGAGAGTACAGCCCTAACTCTCGCGGAACAATAGTGATGTTTCGGCCAGTCCCTAAATCTACCTGCTGACCCCCGGAACCAAAGTGATGTGAAGAAACTGTCCTTCAACCGCGGAACAAAAGTGTTACAGCTACTCAGACACTCGGCACATGTTACCCGTTGAACAGGAATCATCTAATTTGTTTGTGATTTAAATGGTCCTGTAACATGTTGCTGACGGTGCCTGCATGGCCTGGAACCCAGCCAAACGTTACAGAGTTGTGTGTGGATGGTTCGCAGAGAGTGTTGAAACACTTCCATACTAGCTTTGAAGTGACCTCATTTGAGTCCAGAGCTCTAAGGGCAGCCTGACAATCCGACAAGAGCACTGTATCCTTGTCTTGTCAGCGTCTGGCTAGTCCTAGGTCGGCACAAGCCAAGATCCCACAAATTCCTGCCTGAAAGATGGTACAGTATCTCTCCCAGACTGGCAGAAAGTTCTGATCTGGGCGATCGACTGTATACTCCAAGGCCTGAATTTCCATTGATTAGGGAGCCGTCTGTGTACCATATGAAGTTTTCTGTTTCTCTGAGATTCTCTTCCTGATGTTTCCACTCCTGGAGCGGAATTCAACAGTGAAGGATTTGGTGTAAACTTCATCTGTGCTCAGGACATCTGAGGTCATGTCAAGCGGACACGCAGCCACAGCTTTGGCAATGGCGCAGTGGCCTGCCCCAGCAGGTCGTCCCTCCAAAGATTTACAACCTTCAAACTGTAGGAAGCCTTGAGGGCTTCAGATAAAAAAAATGTCCAGAGGTGGCAGGTCATGACTGACTTCTACAGTTGCTGCTTCTGCAGGCACCAGCATGAAGCGTACCAAGATAAAAATTCAGTATTTCCTTTTCCATTGAAACGATTTATTAGACGTGATCTAAAATCACGTAAAAACTAACACACTTTATATTTTTGAACAAATTTAAACACTGTAAATAAAAAAAAAACTTTTACATGGCCAAGTCTATAAGTCTATTTAACTAAGTGAACCAGGTTTCTCGTGTTTGCCTTAACAATACCAGAAGTAGCACAGTTAGATGATGCTGTCATTAACAAGTTGTAATAAAGTCAAATATTTTTGTTTCAGTTCTGTTTTGTCCTCAAAAATATGAACTATTTAATGGTTTATTGCAACACTATACGATGAAACCGGAGGATAGTATGAACGATGTTCTAGCACGTAGAAAAATGTCATTCGAAGGCAACTTGGATGTTGAGTGCGTAAAACAGAACGATGAAGCTAAGGTGTTCGTATACGCTCCAGAAGGATACTTGGTTGATAGATTGATGTTTGAGAGCAAAGAAGATTGCAAAACATTGAAGGACAACACACTTATAGTTGGAAAGCTGATACCGGCTAAGGCAAATAACTATGATATGTTAGACTTCCCTGTAACATACACGTTGCTTGGAAAAGTACGTCGGTGTGTCATAAGACCCTACACGCTTATCAAATTGCAGTACTACACCAAATTATATAGAAGGGAGCCTCTACTGATAGATTGCGAAAAGAGAACTGAGATTGTAAGTTAAAAATTATACATCATATGACTCGATTAGATTAAGGAACACCATTTAAATTAAGCGCTCACCTATACATTTACATCTTAGAAACCCTATTATTCGTACAGTTCTCAAAGCATTCATGGTTATCCTCTTCGAGGCAATTTCAACCTTTCAGTACCACGGCACTCAACCACATTAAAAAAAACGTTCACACAAACAAAATACAACTTTTTAATGGCCTCGTTCTCCCATTAAAATTTGAACAATACCAAGGAAGATTTAGAAAATGTGCAAAGTCCATTTTTACACCTTGTGAAGTCTATTTTCCTATCTTTAACCCAATAGTTTTTATTTTGAAATGTAAACTTCTGCCAATCATTACCAAATCGTAATTGCATTTTACATTTCAAAATACATCGTATGAGCTGCTGACTGCTGATTTATATAGACTGTTTATCGTCCTGTAATCCAGCTAGGAGGTCACGAATTGTGGATATTTATAGGTGTGCACTGTGGATGCGATGCTTCCTGGTGTGGATTAACGTCCGCACTAGTGTGTACTACGACTGTCCGCAATACTATCCTGATAGTTAGACCAATTCGTTAAGAACTAAGAAAAATGTGGTTTGGATTCCACTATAAACTAAAGGTGCCTTAGTTGCCATTGGCTGTAGGGGCTTAATAGCTCATCCCCATTCATACTTGGGGTAAAATACGCACATAGTGTCGTCCCCATCTTAAATAATTGATATAGTTGATATAATTGATATCATTGATATAATTAAAGGTGTAAACCGTAGATTAAGTAACAACTGATTCAGATCAAAGTTGGTACTCAGGTAAAAAAAGGAATTTAAAATAAAATTGTTCAAGAAATATTTCTTACGATACTTCCTTCTATTTGGTTAACTTCTTATAACAAACCTTTACATGTTTTTGCTATACTCCGTCCACAAAATGTATGCGGTTTTAGGGGAAGCGATTCCACCCCCACTCACCATGACTTTGAAACAATAGCCAGCAGCTAATCAGGTCATGTATACATTAAGTCAAAAGAAAGTGGCTGGGGAATCCAGAAAACATAACCCTTAAACCCGCATACAATTTGCGAAAGAAAAAAATATCATTTAAATTTAAAGTTTTTATTTTTTTCAGGGGACTGCAAAAATTAACTATAAGAGTAAGTATTTACAAAAAGAATTACAATAGTTCTAAGTAAACTATGTTTATGTAGTGTACAATGGATATCAATGAGATATTTTGTGCGTTATAGATATTTAATACATTAATTTTTCATGAAAGTTAATAAAAATACGCCTAATAACTTTTAATATATCATTATGCTTAGTGGCCCAGGATCACTTATTGAATAAAATGGTTTATATTACCTGTCCATCAGTGATCCTATTGTTGTCTTAAGCGACCAGTTTCGGGATTAAAATCCCATCCTCAGCAGTTAAAAATGTCATATCACTCAAATTGATCTTATATTTGAGATCTATCCATTTTTATATATGTATTTATAAGGTATAAGGTATAAGGTATGTATAAGGTAAATATAAATATGCTAGTTAAAAATAAGGAAATATTGACTCCAGTTGTACTTTTAGAAAAGTCTTGTTCAGGACTTCCGGTAGCCAACAGGATATAAGTAGTGACGATATCGAGATTCTTGTCATTAGCATATTGGGTCTGATAATGATTGGAGTGTCCAATGGAAATCGATCACCACTTACTATTGTATGTTTATACCTCCTGTGATTCAATAGTGTAAGTGTTAATATATTTAAAGGGTTTGAGACGTTTTTCGATTAACTTGTAGTACATTTTAAAACTTGTATTTAATTATAAATTATTGTTAATAATTTATATATTTTTTTAATTTGAATTTTTTTTTAAATCTTACTATAGTGATGTAAACTTAGGCCTACTGTATTTTTTGTAGAAGGAGAAATGTTACCAACTGGAAACTACGAAATCATGGAATTCATCAAAGATGCTGATTTTGTCGGTGAACCTTCCTATATCACTTTAAAAGCTGAATCAAACATCAAGCTCAAGTGCCAACAATACTCCAAAGAAGAAAGAAAAAAGGACGGATGGACACACTTAACCCCGTTTGCAGTTGGATATATAACTTATGAGAACTTAATCTTAGAAAGGTTATTTCTAGACTCTTGTCCAGTTGGCGAAGTTGAAGGGATGTACATCAACCGCCTACCGCAATCGCCTTTCTATGAAAAAGAATTTACACTTGTCTTCAAAACAACAAAAGGGCCCTGTTTTAAAATATCCATTAGCTATATGTTTCAAGAGCTATTTCAGGATAATGAGCAGTTAACATATGCAGTTAACATTTACCGAGACAACCATCGCGAAGTCAATTGTCCAGATGATTGGAACAGTGACGCAGCCTTCAACGTGAAACCAACAGGGCGTATGACTAAGTGGGTTCACTCAGTGGTTAAACTGGCTGGTGGTGACTAGTTTGTACCCATTGATTTCCCTCTGAATCATCTGAATTTATTGATTAATTTATTATCTGAAAATTATTGTCTTATTGACTTATTGGCTTATTTATGACCCTATAACCATAAATGGATAATCCCTGATGACAACGAGTTTGGTAGGGTGCAGTCTGAATGCACAAGACCCACACTAGGAATAGACAGAGGTAAATTTCCTCGCCATTTTTCATGTTGCTTGTGCCCAATCGAGGCGAACCCATTTGCACTATCTTGTCTTTTATCATAGACTTAACGGTGCAAATAGCTACGCCACACTTCACACCAAATAGTTTTTTTGTCCTAGGACGCTAAGCACGAACACGGAATTGTTTTTCACATTACTTCAGGCTAGACCTAGGGGTTGCGGCATTATCACATAGACAATATCCATTGGTGATTTGGCTGGATTTGAACCCGGGACCTCTGGAACCGAAGTCTTGTACTCTAACCACTAGACCAGCTCGCTCCCCAATAGTAAAATCGGAAGATTTAGTGTTAGGTTACACTCACGAATATTATAACAGAAATCGGCATGGATCATAAACATAAACAAATTACGTAACTGACCCATATCATAGATAAAACAAACATACTCCCTTAGTAGATTTCTCATCCTTATGAAACAGCTGAAGACAATTTTATTGTTAGTTCATGTACGGTTTATGTAGAGGTCGTGTTTTGTTTACAATTTGTTTCCCGTTATTACAGCCATTTAAAACCTCGTTTAACCAAATAATACGATCTAATCATAAAAAATAACTTGTCCCCTAGTTATATAACCAAACAGTAAAGCACAAATCAAGAAATTAACCCTAAAATAATGGAAACAAAGTTTCATCGACACTAGCGCCTTTGTGTCACGTACATGAACTAGACACGAAAAACGTGCTTCAAAATTTACAATGGGATGAGAAGTCTACTTGTGTTGGTTAGTCTATGCCCATATCCTACACTAGTGCAACTGAACAATATAAACAACTCATACTTAGTTCTTTACGTCGTTGGTGCAACTTCGCACACAAGTTACACAAATAACTATATCGGGTATATGTTATTGCGTGGGGTTATATAATTTGTTGTTACCTTAAATAATTTACTTAACGTAAGAAATAATTTTTGAAGCTTTTAATAGATTATAAATAATTTCTACTTTTCTTCTATGTCAGATGACTGTCCTTGTTTAGTTGGCCAAATTTGTTGTTTCACTCTACTCTAATACGAAATGAGTTCCTAATTTTCAGTTGCTTTTATTAATATATTTATGTCACACAAAATTAAATGTTAAAATACTCTATCTCCTTTTCGGTAGAAGTTTGGTAATGATTGGTTTAGGTTTAATGAGCAGTTACAGTCTGATCATTTCAAAATTTGGTAATTTTTTAAGTAAATTGAAGTAAATGTGTTTAAAATGTTTGAACAACACACTTTTACGGAGACATTCTTCGAAGACACATAATCGAGATTTTTACTTATTAAATAAAAAATCTCGCTTTAAAAGTAGGAGCTAATAGTGTAAGCTACCTACATTTTAAACTCACTATATTCTTTGAATCATAATCATTATTAGTAATTTTTGAGGTTTAGAAGGTTTTTATGACGTAGAAACTTGATATACTATAACACGGAAGTTGACTGAATGAACTTTCATTCTACAAGAGATTAAAATCAAACCATAAGACGGAAAATAAAGGCATTATTTTTCACGTGGCGAAGCAAATTTCTTTGACTCCCGAGAGAGTTATAAAGAAGGTTGGGAAAACCTCTCTTGAGCCGGGGAGGTCAAGTTATTGAAGAAGGTGTTTCCTGAACAATGTTTATACAAAAGTTATACAAAGATTTAATATACTTTTAGTAAACCCACTAAAATATTAGATTATGATGAAATAATTTAGCCTTCCATTTGAATCTTTACGTATTTAATCTTGTCCACACAGATATTCTCAAAATAATTCACATAGCCTAAATATTTTATTCAATACTATTAAATCCTTGGTATTGTTTATCGTGTTTGTTTGATAATAAAAATAAACATATAAAACAACTAATAACGCGTAAACATAAAGAAATAACATTTTTGTTCTCCCCTAATTTTATAATACTGTAGTATTTTTGTAACAATAACTATTAATGAATTTGTTTCGTTGAACGGAAAATAGCAATCAAAGGCTATGTTTAAAGAACAAACAACCTTTTTGTTCTAGAAAAATCCTCTGTTTTTACTCAAACATTTAGCATCCTAACTTCAAAGTAGCAGTACTGCATGCTAAGTTCCTTTTCAATATTTTATGCCTAAGTATTTACTCTCACGTTGATAATAGCCTATACTGGATCACTATCCTATACGAATATATCATTTCACAAACAAAATATATAACTAGGTGACGTTCGCAGATGCATCCACAAAATTGAGCGGAGTCATCAAGGGTTCATATTATATTGTTTTTGTCATACTGCAGTAAAAACAGTCGTCATTGGTGCATGCGTTGCGGGTCTAAAGTAGCATTTTTATTCTTTAGGGAATAAAATTCGTTTAAGCCTCTATGGAATAAAACTCAGCTGTTGTCAACTCAGTTGTAAATTTCTATTGTAAAAGATTGAATACGTATCGAAATATGTAACGATTCGTGCTTTATAATCATTTTAACCTTCAGTCTACAGTCTCTTCCCATAGCATTTTAGAATTGCAGATACATTAATCCATTCCCACACTCAACACTGCCTACCATTACTACTTCCTTCACCACCCCCTACGTCGTGGATCTGTTTCCCTCTCTTCCAATAGCATTTTAGGATTGCAGATACATTAATGTAATTGCCAAAGACAGTTCCCACACTCTGCACTGCAAGCCTCACTACTTCCTTCACCATTTCCTACGTCATAGACATGTTTCCTTCCCTTCTCATAGCATTTAAGTATTAGATACATTTATCTAACTGCCCAAACGGTTCCCTCACTCTGCAATGCCAGCCTTTACTACTTCCTTCACCACTTCCTACGTCGTGGGGCCTGTTTCCTTCCCTTCTCATAGCATTTTAGGATTGAAGATACATTAATCTAACTGCCACAGACGGTTCTCACACTATGATCATACTTTACTACTTCCTAAGCCACTTCCTACGTCGTGGACCTGTATACATAAATTTCCATAACAATTTAGTATTTAAGATACGTTAATCTAATTGCCACAAACATTCCCCACACTCCGGACAGCTCGCCTTGACTACTTCCTTCACCACTTCCTACGACTCGGACCTGTTTTCCTCCATTCCCATAGCATTTTAGGATTGCAGATACCTTAATCTAATCGTCATAAACATTTACCACACTGCGGACTGCTCGCTTTTACTACTTCCTTCACCACCCCCTACGTCTCGGACCTGTTTTCCTCCCTTCCCATAGCATATAAGGATTGCAGGTCCCTTAATCTAATCATCATGAACAGTTCCCACTTTCCGGACTCCTCGCATTTCCCACTTCCTTCGCCACTTCCTACGTCTCGGACCTGTTTTCCTCCCTTCCCTTGGCATTATTGGATTGCAAATACCTTAATCTAATCGTCATAAAAAGATCCCACACTCCAAACAATTCGCCTTTACTACTTCCTTCACCACTTCCTACCATTGGCCTGTTTACCTCCCTTTCCATAGCATTTTAGTTTTGCAGATACCTTAATCTAATCGTCATAAACAGTTTCCACAGCCCGGACTGCTTGCATTTACTACTTCCATCACCACTTCCTACGCCACGGACCCGTTTTCCTCCCTTCCAAAGCATTTTAGGATTGCAGATACCTTAATCTAATCGTCATAAACAGTTTCCACACTCCGAACATCTCGCCTTGACTACTTCCTTCACCACTTCCTACGTCGCGGACCTGTTTTCCTCCCTTCCAAAGCATTTTAGGATTACAGATACCTTAATCTAATCGTCATAAACAGTTTCCACACTCCGAACAGCTCGCCTTGACTACTTCCTTCACCACTTCCTACGTCACGGACCTTTTTCCCTCCCTTCCCATAGCATTTTAGGATCGCAGATACCTTAATCTATTGGTCATAAAAAGTTCCCACACTCCGGACTGCTCGCCTTTAGCCTACCCCTTCACCACTTCCTACGTCACGGAACCGTTTCCGACCCTTTCCATGGCATTTTAGGATTGCAGATACCTTAATCTAATCGTCATAAACAGTTTCCACACTCCTGTCAGCTCACCTTGACTACTTCCTTCACAACTTCCTACGTCGCGGACCTTGTTCCTTCCCTTCTAATAGCATTTTAGGATTGCAGATACCTTAATTTAATCGTCATAAACAGTTTCCACACTCCAGACTGCTCACATTTACTACTTTCTTCACCTCTTCCTACGTCACGGACCTCAAGCTAGCTAGTGTCGTCATTTGATTATATTTATGATCCATACCGTTTCTGTTCTAATATCTGTGGAATATTGCTATCCGATATTCCTTTATCTACTGCATTCAAAAGTCAACAGCTGATCATATGTCTTTGTTTTTGTTTATGTGTCAAATACTGCTTCCATAAGGATTACATTGAAACTTTGAGACCCAGTGGGGCGGATTCCTGAGAGACTTTTTTAACGCCATATAGATGTTGGCACTCACCGATATGGTCTTTATCACTATGCAAAATTTGAAAACCATTGATTCAGCCGTCTAGGAGGAGTTTGCGTATTTCGAAATGCATAAGAGTCGACGTATAAGAGCTTCGCTCGCTTCGCTCGCTCCGCTCAATAATGTATTAGTAAAAACAAAGTAAAATAATATTTTTATTAACCGACTTCCCCACTACCAACAAAAGGAGGAGGTTCTCAATTTGTTTGTGGCGATGTTTTTTTTTTTCTATGTATGTTCACCAATTTCTCTGTGATTCTTTTACCGATCAGTGTGGTTCCACCACCAAAATAACCAGGAGAGTTTCTATTTGGTACCTTATATATTATGTTTAAGTATAATATTTGTTTCGGTGAAAAATTCTGAAAACCTTAAATATTTAACATTTATTTTGTTTACATTTGTGC